AAGGTTCGTAACGAAATTATACGAAACTATCAAAATATTACTTCAAAATCAACTCACACGATGGAATAAAATGAGAATGCAAAGCGTAATGTGCAATAGAGACCCGTTACATTCTATATTTAGCCTATGCTGGAAATGTCCCGTTAGATTTGCTTCTAAAAGCCGTTGTTTTGCTGAAATTTTATTGTAACGAAATTATACGAAAAATTCGAAAAACTGATCTTTAGGCGTGCGTATCAACTTTGTTTGATTTGTAATTTTGAATTTTATCAATTTTATTTAAAAAATCATTGAAATGCCACGAGGAACGCGTTTGACTGAAGAGGAAAAGGGGAAAATTCTCGCTTTCAAAGCCTCTGGCTTATTAATTAACCAAATTGGGAAATTAATTGGTCGAACATGCTGCGTAATCAATAATTTTTTACAAAATGAGGAAGGATACGGCAAAAATAATAATGCTGGAAGAAAATCCAAACTGTCTGGCCGTAACAAGCGTCAAATTTTGAAAAAAGCAAGTAATTCGACCTTGTCGTGTCGTCAACTTGCTGCATACAGCAGCATTCCAGTGTCACCAATGTGCGTTTGGCGTACTTTAAAAACATCCAAACATATAGTGCGAGGAGTAATGAAGAAGCAGCCAACTCTCAAAAATCACCACAAGGCAGCACGACTTGAATTCGCTATTAAAAACCTTGATACGTGCTGGGACTTGGTAAGGAATCGTTGTCTTGTAATGCTGCATGCAACATGCAGATGCAACGCATGCAACATAAGATTTTTAAATATTTTTTTTCTTCAAAAGGTTATTTTTTTGGATGAGAAAAAGTTTAATTTAGATGGTCTAGATGGATTTCGCGGCTATTGGCACGATTTGCGTAAGGAACCCCTCGTATTTTCAAAACGCAATTTTGGAGGTGGTTCTGTTATGGCATGGGGTGCATTTACCAAGTGTAGCACCCTTGAACTCCGCTTTGTGACTTCAAGAATGACAAGCGTAGATTATGTTGAAGTGTTGGACAACACTCTCATACCCTCCCTACATAATAATAGGGAAAGTCCTTACATTTTCATGCAAGATAATGCGAGAATTCACACCAGTCGTCACACGATGGCCTACCTATTGTCATCCTCAGTCAATACTTTGGACTGGCCTGCGTTCACCTGATCTGAACCCTATTGAAAACCTCTGGGGAATTCTTGTACGTCGTGTTTACGCCGAAAATAAGAAATTTGATAGTGTGACTGAACTAAAAAGTAAGATTTTCAGAGAATGGGGAAAATTGGACCAAACCCTTTTGGCAAATTTAATAAACTCAATGAAAAGAAGGTTATTCAATGTAGGAAAAGAACAAGGAGGCACTATTTAATGTTCAAATTTTTTTTTAAGCCATTATCTCAAAGATTTATGGTTTTATAAGCTAAAAAAACAAGTTTTCGTATAATATCGTTACACTCGAAAAGTGTAATTTTTCTTATTTTTTCAAATATTTTAAAAACTATGAACATTTAAATGCCTATGTTATTATATAATGTTGCTTTCATATACATTTTCGAAAATAAAGCATTACTATACTTCTAAGATTACTCAAACAAAAAAAAGTTACAAAATAAAAAATGTCGTATAATTTCGTCTAAATAAAATGGGCTCAAACGAGTCAAAAATAGAAAAATCAGCAGCTAACCTAATAAACAATGTCAAAATAATAGATCATAGAGAAAGTTTAGAAGATATAATAATTTTTCTGATAGTAATAACCGTTGTATCTGTTATTTTATTAGCATTAAAAATGTATGCAATGCAGATGGACTTGATAAAGTCTAAAAATATAAATATTATCGAGGAAAAGAAGTGAAATAAAACTAAATTTAATATGATATAGAATTAGCGAGAGTCTCGCAAAATGCTTACAAATGAGTTCGTATGTGAGCAGAAAACGAGTGGGACACATTTTTATCGCAAAACACTCGAACACGAGCGTTGCAGTGAGATCTTTGCGATAAAAATGCGTGTACAGTAGAGAGAATAGTGTGTTGTTTTTGTTTCTAATATTAATCGTGCTCGGAGAGTGCAACATCGACAAGAGAGAGAGTAAAAATGACTCGGCATTCGGATGCTGTGTTGTTTTTGTTGTTGTTTCCTACTCAGCCCGAAAAATATGTTTTTTTTTAAGGTTGACAACAGGCCGAAGCGAGCAAACATGTGGTTAAGTGAACAGTGAAAATTGGTTTTCTGTAGAGAGGTAAGTAATTAACAAGTGTTAATTAATAACTAAACTATTCCCTGAAAAGACGTACGTCAAATCTATAGGAGCTCGTGGCGCCAGATAATATGATGATGATGATGTTGCAAAACAGTGCTCCTGGCGTGGGCCGGAGAAAATAAAAATAAAATTAACATATATAATTTTTTTCTTTCATTAATAGTGTTAAATTAAACTAATTTATTTATGTATTAACTTTTATTATAATTATATGATTGCCAAAAAAATGAGTTTAAAATTTAAATCAAGTAAAATGATATTTATTTTTTAAATAAAAATTGAATTAAAAATGAATATTAAAAAATAAACACCCACAAACATTTTTATGGGAACAAAATGGGCATTAAACAAAAAAAAGTTTCGTAAACCATATTTCCTGCGAGCCTTTGGCTTATCTTTTAAGAGATATTTTTAATATTGCTACCGGCTTACAAAAAATATTTGTTAAAAAAAAATATTTTGAATCAAAAACGTATCACAGAAAATATTTTATTAGACTCGTTAAAAATATCAGAAGAGGCTCGCAGAACATATCACCAAAGGCTAGCCGTATTTCTTGCGACAACGTATATGAAACTTTGACTGCCACAAACTGAACGACATATGATTCATTTACTTTTTCCTACTTACACCCTTCTTCTTAGATGTAAGCTCTAATAGCGTCACTGACAAAATTAGCTGTGAAAAGGGGCACAGCTGCCTGGACTGGCAAATAAAACACCTCCATCGGTCGGTGATGATATTAGAAATTTGTGTTCCCTTACTAGGCTTCTTTTAGCATTTAATTTTCATAATTGTATATAAAATGTATTTAATAATTAGGAAGACACTCGTCAACGCATATTTGTAGAGACGAATCGAACTAGAGTCGAGTACAGATCCTCTTGAATGGTCGGTCCAACCATTAGAAGGTCATTCAACGCAATTTGAGACGATGCCAGACAGGACGCGTCGAAAACAACGCATAACTTTGTCGATGTGCTTTGTGGTCTTAAAACACACTGATGCGGAATGAAGTAGTGAGGAGTACTTGGAATCTGATCATCTATTTCAGACATTTGGCCTAAAGTTAAATATTCCTCCATAAGCTCGGGATCTCGAGGCAAGCGTCTTTCAATCGACAAAAAACGACGCTTAGCAACCTCAAAGGAGTTACCAAGCTGATTGGGATCTGATGTAAATGGCAGTCTTACTTTAAATCTACCTGACGGCAGTATTTCCAAATTATCTTGAAAGTGGCTCTCACATAACTTCTGTTCAACTGTTCGGACCTTTTTGGCTGAAGGCAACTCTTTCAATGACCAAAATTTCTGCAATGTTTTGTCTATTGAGGTATAAGACTCTTCTTGGCAACTCAGATTCACAGCATGAGTCTTCTCATGACTTAACGGCGTGTAACGTCCTGATACAATCCAGCCAACAAGTGTCTTTTTCAGAATCGGACAATTTGGACCTGGTTTAATCTGACCGACAGACAGAAGCTCAAAGGACGTCTCAGCTCCGATGAGCATGTCGATCTTTTGTGGCTTATGAAAATATGGATCAGCCAATTGCAAGTTCTCAGGGATTTTCCAACCACTGACATTGACCGTATGGTCAGGATGGTAACCAGAAATGGTCTTCAAAATCCACAAATCTAACGAGAACTCACTGCAATTGACTCGCGACTTCACCTCTGTCTGAATCTTCTTTCTTACTTGAGTATTGCATTGAGAAATCCCAAGTAAGCTGATACTGGCCTCTTCTCTACGCAGCTGCAATCGTTGCGCTAGCTCGTCTGTTAAACAAATTAATTTGTGATCCAGAATCGAGTAAAGCTCCAGCCAAAACGAACTCGCCACTTCTCGTTTTAACGCTAACGACTGCGGTAGCTAGGATTACACTATCAGACACAATCGAATGCATAGCATGTGAAGTCGATGGTTGATCCTGTACGGAGTCAAGGGGTGGTGGTAACGCTCGAGTGTTAGAAACGGCAGAGTATCTATGCAACAGTGTGTTATGAGAACGACTGCATACTCTGCACTTGTTTGCTTTACATTTGGCAACAGTGTGCCCCTTCCGAAGGCGATTGATGCATAAAGGAGCCGCCTTAGCGAACTCAAACCGCTGCTGTACTGATAACGCGGCATATTAAATATAGAAAAGCCTTCGGAACCGCAATATAAACATTTTGGGGTCACTTGATCGTTTCTTCCACTAGCCACAGAACACGAAACCGAACTTCGATTATTATTTTTGGAAACGGCCTTTGACTCTGGCTTCGGGCCATCGGACGAAGCTTTGGCTGATTATTCAGCAGAAAGGTGTTATTACCTACGATTCAAGGCTGTTTCACAATCACTCCATAATGGAATGATTGCATAATCGAGTTGATTCTCCCATTTTCGTCTGGTCATTGGGTCAACTTTGTTCATAGCGATGTAAATGAGAATCGCGTTAGAAATCGTTTTGTCATCACCTATTAACAGGAGCGAGTCATAGATGGCGGAGACAGTGTCAATCATTAGATGCCGCAGAAGGTTATTTTTGGCAGGCTAAAGAGAGCCGAAATATTTTCATTAAATATTAGACATTCATTGTCGTATACTCTCTTTAGGCTGTCTAATGATTTTAAATAATTGTCCTCGGTGACTTGAAACGCTCTAACAGTGCCTAGAGCTTCACCTGAGAGACATGAGATCAGATGATTGAATATCTCTATGCTTGGGATCGCATGATCGTTATGAACAAGAGTTTCGAACAGCTAATAAAATTCTTAAACTCGGAGTATTTTCCACTTAAATTAGGAAGTGCTAGAAGCGGAAGACGTGTGCGTGGATCCGCAACGGGCATGCCTGTAGGCGTTGCAGGACTTAATACCTTGATAACGGACCTTAGACGAGCTTTTGTCGCTATACAGAGTTCTTCGAGCTCGGCACGATACTCATCATCTGGGACAAAAGTCGCTCGATCCTGTTATTTGAACGCTGTATCTATATGTGAGGCCAGCATTTATAATCTACATTCTAACTCTGTAGACTCTAGCTTTAATTTACCCAATATTATTTGATCATTTAAATGCTTTTTGCTTTTACCGTTTTTTTTTTAATCGTCAAAACTTTCCTTAGTTAGCCATATTTTTCTAAATTCTATTTAAAAATTGTTATTTTAAATTAAAATCGATTTTTCCAAACGAATTCAATAATCTGATATCCCTGATCAACAAAGCGTAGGGAAGCGAGCGCCTCTTCACCAAAACGCGCCAACGAAAAATGATACAACAATTGCACAGCCACCGGTTAGCACAAGGCGGAACGAAAATAATCGGGCTACAGCTGGCTTGCTATGTACGTGTGTATGCATGCGTGTACTCCACCTTTTTACAAGCGCTTGGTCTCGGCTTGGTATAAATTACTGTGGTTGAGAGTGATGGCAAGAAGGGGTAAACGACAAAGACTAAGCGAAATGAAATTATAGTGACAATTAATTTTTCACTCTAATCAGCATTCACTCAGAAGCACTAAATCTCACAAATACTAAATTATATGTATGAATCTCCAAAGCGTTTAGTAACTGCATGCAAAATTTTAATTATGCTCAACTTCTTTACATATGTACCAGAATTGAAAGCGTTGGCTTCATTAGCGCAACCAAGCCAATAGAGGGCATTCAACTGGCTTTAAAAGGCAGATTATGCGTTTTCGTGCTTATCGCTTTGTTATAATTCGACAACTCAACGTATTAAGCCTAAATTAAGCTAAGGCGGCGAAGCGGGGCGAATTCGCTTCCAGAGCGAGTGATAAAGCTTTATTGCGCTTTCGCTCCGCCATAAACCTAAATTACAATAGACTTCAAGTTCAAATATGTTTTCTGAAGGAATGCGCGGATCTGCGCCAAAACCGCCAATTTACCACTTTTGCGGGTGGAATTTCCCGAATGGCTGAATAAGGTATTCCTTAAGTTCCTTTGACTTTGCCAAAAAAGTGAAATACGTCTCAAAAGATTTTTTATGTAGATCCATGGAAATGAATTTGAGGGCGAAACGCCACTCACAAATTCTTTGACCCCAGAAGGGATGGATTTAAAAAAAAATACACACGAGATGAATTTTGAATAGGATCTTAAAAAATGTTTTTGTAGCCGTAAGCAAAAAACTATCATACAATCGTTATCCGCCAATATACCACTATTGCGGCAGGAGTTTTCCAATTCACTGAAATACGTATTCATTAGGTTTTTATGTAGAGCATTAAAAATAAGTTTAGAGCAAATCGGTTTCAACTTTAAACTTTGCCCAAAAAATCTTTGAATTTTATTTCTACCGAAGAAGTTTGGATTCTGCAAAAAGTCTGAAGCACATTGCAAATGATTTTTCAGATAGATCTTTGACCGCCATTTCCACCAAGGAGGAATGAATCTTTCGAAAAGTGCGAAACACCCCTCAAATGAATTGAAATGAATTGAAGTCTATTGGATGGTAAACAAAAAAGTTGCATACAAACTTTTTTTGCGATTTTTGCACACTTGTGTTTAATATATTTAATATATATTAAGATACATATATATGTAGCCCTGTGAAACTAATAAATACCGAGCTTGGTAAAGATATCTTGGATAACAAAAAAGTGGTTCTTACAAGAACTTTGTTCGGTCATATACCTCATATATACATTAGTTAGGGTATCAATAGCAATGTCAAAGCAGAATTTGTTAAGATTATGCTAATTCTCTTATATTTGAATGTCATAAGCAGTCATATACATGTACGAAGTCTCGCTCTCTTGCGAACTCTGTAATTGCTCGGTCCCTTTAATCTTAATTTATGTTAAGAAATCAGTTCTATAAGCATCATCATAGAAGTCAGTCGTGTTGCTCATCAATTTGTTAAACCTTTATTAAAACTTCATACCATCCACACACGCCCACTTGAAATAAGATTCTTAAAAGGTCAAAAAGCTTTTGATCCAACAAACTTAATTTAAAAAAAAATAGTGTTATTCTAATTATTTGACATCAAATTATGAATATCAAATGCTAAAAGCCTTATTAGCATACACAGTTTTATAATAGGATCACCGACATGATGGAGGTGTTTAATAACTAATTTTGTCAGTGACGTTATTAGAGCCTACAGCTAAGAAGGAAGGTGTTAGTAGAGAAAATGGTGATCTTAAGTAAAATTGAAAAATAATCGTAATTTACAATATTATTTAAGAAAATACGCTAAATAGGAAAAAAGAAAGAAAGAAGTAAGCAACAAAATATACAAATTTATAGTAGATATATAGAGTGTTAAGTAAATAAGATAAGGAGATAGTGATGGGAAATCAGTGGGGGAAATTTATAGCCTGTTCAGCAAACTATACCCCTTCTCATAGCTGGGAAGGCACAATGAGTTCCCGAAGGTATCCTGAAAGCAACGATTTTATAAGGGGGAGAGAAAGTTCGATGAAGAAAACGTGATACAAACTGTTGAATATTTTGCATAACATGTGAAAAGAATTGTGCATAGCGAAATCTGTTGTGCACGTAGGAAGGAATATTGGCGATAATTCCTGGTAGGTCTAGACAAAACAGAGAATTGAAGACGCCCAACTAGAAAATAGGCAATAGCCACTTATGTAGGAAGACAACACCGAGGATGGTCCTTCGTTTGATTAACTACGGAAGATCAAAAAGAAGAAGCCTGCTGGAGTAGAATGGCAACCGAAGATCTGAAGATAGAAGGTCCCAATTGAAACCTAGTAAGGCAAAAAGCAGACATTGCTTATGAATTGATTCAATACGATCCTAACTATTGTTATACTGCGAAGTCCAGATCCAAGATATAATGGTTATGAAAGGATTGTTAAAGTCTTTAGAACAACCAAGTACACCTTTAGCCTCATTAACGATGGTATCTTCTGTGGTGGGGTGATAAATCTTATTTTTGAAAAATTAAATATACATTGCCTCATGCCAGCAATCAACTACGATGGGCAGCATTGCACCATAACATTTATGCAAATACATATGATCAGCTTATGTAAATAACATGTTCAAAGTGATCATGACCTTTGTTAATAATGACGCCGTTACGAATGAAAATATCGTATCTCGGCTGTATGTTTATTTGACGCTTTTAATTTTGGCGTGGCGTCATTCTTTCCGTTTTAATCGCCAACGCGTGCAGTGGCATTAGATTGGGTTAAAAATTATCAAGTTCAGTGTTACACATGGGCGTAATAAACCCATGTGCATTGACATCATGCGCTCCCGAGTACACCTTTAGCCTCATTAACGATGGTATCTTCTGTGGTGGGGTGATAAATCTTATTTTTGAAAATTTAAATATTCATTGCCTCATGCCTCATGCCTTCAATCAACCACGATGGGCAGCATTGCACCATAACATTTATGCAAATACATATGATCAGCTTATGTAAATAACATGTCCAAAGTGACCATGACCTATGTTAATAATGACGCCGTTACGAATGAAAATATCGTATCTTGGATGTATGTTTATTTGACGCTTTTAATTTTGGCG